AGTAAATAAATTTTGCTTGAGTTGAGACTTTTGTTCTTTGTTTAAAGGTAAGTATTCTTAAGAGGAAAAATAACCCCACTAACACAATAGCAGTCATCAGCACCTTAGTATGAATTAGCACATCAGTGTCCTATTGCTGAGGGGACACAGCAGTGGAAGGAGAAAGAGGGAGGGGCTACGGGGAGACAGATACAAAGCACGAAGCAGTGCCTAGAAAAGACAGGCTCTGGAAGAGATCCCAGAAGCCAGGATCATCCTGAAGATACCGAGCTTGCAAATAAAATGGAAGTTCCAAAACCAAACGGATGAATTTACAGTTCTCTACTTTATTGCAAATACATAAGGACTCATCTTCCATCTTTAAGAAGAAACGGAGTGTGCTTCATGTCTTCACAAAATCTGTGCTGGCAAATCCATACTTAACCCTCTGTGTTGTGATTCCTGAGATACCACTCTACAGAAACTAACTACCGAAGAGAAGAGCTTCGGCACAGTGCCTGTGACGACCATCAGCCACACAGGAAATATGATCGTGACACCAGACTATTCCCTTAAACGTGGTAATGATATGACAAGGCTCTGATGATCCCTCCTGGATCCCAAAAGGCTGAAGCCCATTGGATCTCAGAGGTCAGGGTTGACATAGAGGCAGTACTCACTCGAAAGACCTTCTCCACTCTTGCAATGCTTTTCCCAAAGATGGTTCCAAGTTGGTCTCCAATTCCAGCCAATAAGAAACCAAAGAGTGGAATTCCAAAGATGGCATATAAAATACAAAAGATTTTGCCTCCTTCAGTGCTCGGAGCAATATTCCCATACCCTGGTGAGAAATATTAAAAAGAGAGAGGGAGAGCGGTGAGGTAGCAGAGAAATTAGAGTACAGAACCAAAGACTCACAGACCCTTCCAAACCTTCCTGCATCCCCACCCCCAATTTGATGAACTTTAGGAAGGAGCACTTCATTTTAAAGGCCCGTAAACTTCAGAACACTGTTCCTATTGTCTCCTTCCCTTCCTTCTTGTCAATAGTTTTAAGGAGATCCAGGTTTCCTGGATCTAATGTGTTTAGTTAGGTTACTTTTTAGGAAATGTGTGGTCACCCAAAATTGCATTTCTAATGGAAAGTGGTAATATCCATTTCAGAAACACCAAACACCCTGGACCTGCCTGGTTTCAGGACACCTGCACACCTAAGAAGGGTTCGCCATTGTTGTTTTTAGATTGGAAATGAGCCCCTCCAGACTGTGGCTGCCTTCAACATTTGCCTTCCCAGGGTCATGGGTGCCCCGCACTAAGGAGGCTATGTGGTCTAGCACACATTCAGAAAGGACCCATGGACCACACAGCCCTACCTGGGGAAGCCTGAAAACAGTTTAGAGCGGGGGGAAGGACAGTGGCTCTTTTTCTCTCTACTGGGAGCCCTGCATCATCTCTGAGTCCGGCCTATCCTCTCACCCACTTCTTTTTAAAAAAAATATATTTTATTGTTTTTTTACAGAGAGGAAGGGAGAGGGATAGAGAGTAAGAAATATCGATGAGAGAGAAACATGGATCAGCTGCCTCCTGCACACCTCCTACTGGGGATGTGCCCGCAACCAAGGTACATGCCCTTGACTGGAATTGAACCTGGGATCTTTCAGTCCCCAGGCCGATGCTCTATCCGCTTCCAGTTAGGGCCTCCCACCCACTTCTTGCATCAAGAGATGTCAAGTGCTAAATAAATGTTTGTTGGTGGAATGGGTGTTTTCAGATAAAAGAAGTCCTTCATAGCCAGGTCTACCAGTATGTTTGTCAAACAATGCTTTGGAAACACCATATCTTAAGACTGCAGCAAGTACATATTAGTAAGTAACTGAGGTATAATGAATAGTGGCCTTACTCTATATGGATGGGACTAAAGACAGTGGTGTTGGAAGAAAATGGCTCATGGCACTAGCACAGTTTGTATAGAAATGAGTCTAAGTCATTTGTTATTCATTTTCATGACAATGAGTACCTAGGTAGTCACCTGACTATCCTCCGATATCAGGGTGACTCATGTGAGGTCTATTTCTAAAGCCATCAGTGGGTGAGTTATTGGGTTCATGGTTAGCAGCATGTTGGGAGTGCAGCACAATAAAGAATAACGTTGATGATTGGTCCACCAATTCTCCTCTATGCATGAGGCAAGCTCACTGGTGCTTTCTGCCCTTGAGCAATGAGTCACCTTGCTATTTGCCTTTGCAACTTTCCACTTGGAATCATTCAAACTTCTTATCACAGAGTATCTAAATCACAGTTGCTGTTTCATCAAGGAGTGTTCAGTCAAGCCTCCTAAATCTTGCATTCCTTTGACTCACCACCGTTTTGACTTAATGGTGAAAAAAAACCCACAAAACAATAACCAACCCTTGGAACTTTTTTCAGGTGCTTTCAGGAACTTGGACACAATCCTTTTTCTCAGCAGCCCCCTCTAGAATAATCCAATTTACATAACATAGCCCTCTTGGAGAGGGAACAAATGCGCCTATACAGTTTCACATTATGCAGGTTTAAGGTTCCCTCTCGGAAACATTCTAGTAACTTCTGGAAACATTCATACTCTTGCTTGGCTGTCTCATAATTGCCTGACTACTATCAGGGGATCTAGGTTTTCTTTTAGTCTGATAACTCAGAAAAAAAATACACTGCAGACTCCGACAAACAAACCTGGGCTTTGAACCTGCTGACTAGGCATCTTCGCAGCCCTGACCAACGCTGTGCAGCCTTCCTCTTCCTCTCAGAGGGGACCTGCCCCTATCCCTGAGTCAGGGGTCATCCAGGGTCATCAGGAGCATGAGAGAGAAGTAAGAAGACAGAGGCTCCAGATTCAATTCATCTCACTCTACCCAGTTGTCCTTAGACTCACTTAGCCACTGCAAACCCTGGTGTTGGAGGGGTTCAAGGACAACATGGGAGAAAAAAATCAATGAAGTGTCAAGTACCATACCAATGCAAAGTAGTATTATCATCACTGGCTTCTTATTTACTCAGTGTTTCACAGAGAGGAACACTAAAGTCAAATTAAAGCAAAGTTCTTAGGTTAGGGCACTAGTGAAGTGATATTTACGCCTCTAAGCATATTTAAGGGCATCGTGTCATATCAGACACAAAGTAATCACCATTCCTGAGTGACGCTGTACTTTGTGCATGGGTGTGCGCGTGCGCTTTTCTGTCCCCTGCCTCCAATGAACTATTTGGAGTGACTGCTGCAGTTGGACTGTCAACACTGTGCCTCTAGGAAAATCCTAGAACTTCCATTTTGGAACTTTGAGGCAATAGGAGGCCCACATTCCTGGATTCTTGGCTCTAGTCCTACCTGGCCTGTTAGACTGTCCTGCCCAGCCTTCCAGAATGCTTGGGAGAACTTTGAAGTGAGGTTTGAGGGTTGTACGTAGGCTCTAGAACTAGAGATAAATGCGGATTCTTGTCTGGTTCTTCCGCTTACTAACTCTCGGATGTTGGCAACCTACCTAACCTTTCTGCCTCCTGCTCCGCATTTGAGAAGTGAGGCTCTTTGATAGCACTCACCTTATAGCTACTAAAGGTGAGATGAGTTACCTGTGAAGATTAAATACGTGTATGTGAAGCCCGGCACACAGGAGGCGCTCAGAAAGTATTAGCGATTATCGTCTTGTGATTTCCAGTAGGAAGAAATCACTTCTGAGCCATATGCCTCCAGGAAAACGAAGCCCCAGGAGAAAACAGATGGCTGGCTCCTACTTTCTCTCCGGAAACTCTGCTGTTCTCCCACAGTGCCAGGACACGGGACAGAATGTACCTCCAGTGGCTGGCTCACTGACCTGGGCGGGCCCATGGCTGGATTTGGGGTGCGGGCATCTCTTGGTGCAGCAGGGGGCTGTGAAAGCTGGGAAATGAGAGGGGACACACAGCTACCAGAGAAGCAATCAATGAGGCAGACCTAGCCCACAAGATTGGAACTGGATTTAAGTAAAACAAAAGACGTCCAAGGAGCTACTCCATCAACTGGCTTCTGGTGACTTTCAAAGGAGATGAGCCCAGTGAGGACCGTTTGCAACATCTGAGAAGGACCAAGGTGGGGCTTAGCTCCATTGACCCCCAGCTAGAAAACAGTCCCATGAAGAGAGGCCGATGTTTAGGGAGGATGTGTGCCCGAGGAGCACACAGATGATGCTCCTATGTGCTATTTATGTACCAAATTCACACCTTTGCCAACCCACGTGCTATGCAGCCCTGCTGTGTGCTGACGAGTGTGCATTCTAAAACCAGAATGTCCTTGTACACAGGGCTGGCTTGATGGGTGTGCAACCTGTGCAAACAGAACCCCCATTTCAAAGGGCCCTGTGCTGTGGTTAGTGCTCTGCTGTTGCCATTTTGACATTCTTACTCATTTCTTAGCAAGGAGACCACATTTTCACTGTGCACCTGGCCCTGCACATTCTGTAGCTGGTCCTGCGGAATGAAGCTACTAAACTCCGCTGCTTCCTCACCGTGAGATATTGGGCAAGTTACTTAATGTCTCTGAGCCTCAGTCTTCTCATCAGTAAAATGAGGCTAATAAATAGTACCTGCCTCTTGTGGTTAATGAGAGATTGTGAGAAGGCATGTGGAGCACAGTGCCCGGAACCTGGCAAGTGCTCAGTGAATGCAGGCCACAATGACTGCTATTTCCCAAATCATGGGTTAAACTTCCAATCAAGCGCTGGTTAATTAGAAATAGCTGCCCAGGTTCCTTGGCAGGCACAACTCTTAAATGAGGCTGCCAGGCAAGTAACACAGTTACTGGCTACCATCTGGAACCTGATCGCAGGCTCTCACTGATGTGGGTGGAGTCCGGTGACTCAATCCAAAAATGCCTCAAAGACTAAACTCTAGTTGCACTCGGGAGCTGTTGGTCAGAATGCCATCACCTGTGGCCCTTCTGTTGGTGCTTGTTTATGGGGAAGTCTCTGCATACAAGAGTGAGTGTCATGATTAAAAGCTAGTTACTGGGTTATCTGCCAGCAGAGTCCGCATTCTAGGGAAGGTGGGACTTTTTCACATCAGCATTCGTTACTGAGAAAGGGGACAGGTACAGGGCAACCTCAACAAAGACGGAGCTGTGTCCATTCTTCCTCGCGGCGGGGCTCCTGGCTTGGAAAACGCCTAAATGCGTTCCCTTTGGCCATACACTTGTAAATCTTTCGTTATGTCTGAGTACAAGAAAAGCTTTCTAAAAAAAAGAAGGCCTTGATCCATTCAGATAAAAGAGACTTCTGATACTGAGTAGTATCAGTAGTATCGCTGCTTTTCAGAAAAGAATCTATTATTCCTCAGATCTTTCTGCCTACGTTCTAAGCAATGAACACGTTTTTGTGTGTCTGAAAGGTACATAACCTCATGCAGCCCGTGAAAGTCTTTCTGGAGAGCAATTTGGTGAGCCTTTAAAAGGCTCATGACCTTTGCCATGGCAATCCCTCGGGGGTCTTTCCAAAGAAACAACCAATGGTGAAGACCACACTTCACGTACAGCAGTTTTCATGGTGATGCTAAAGGAAGAAACAGCTTCAGCCTCCAACAGTATGGGATCACAGTGTGGATGGTAGAAGCCATGGAGCCCATCAAAGATTGTTTTCCAGAGAAGCTTAGTAATAGGGGGACATGTTTCCAGTATTATGTCGTATATGAACTCAAGCAAGCAGGCTCATGTCGGTGCTTCCCAAACAATGAAAAGACAGCTCCTCAGCTCCAGCTTCCCCCTGCCTGACTCCTAACTTGTGAAAAATTTCTCAGGAAAAACCAAGAGGATCAGTGAGTTCTGATTTTCCTTAGAAGCTTTGCT